TTCTTTTTTTTTTTTTTTTTTTTTGTTCGAGGATTTGAATCTCTGGTCTTTAAATAAAAAGTATATATGGATTACTGCTAACTTAGGTTTACATTGACGATGAGTTGGAACTGTACACAGGTAGAACACGATTATGTTTTGATAGTGCCTCATTTTTAATCATGTCATCTCTAGTTCTTCTCAAATACATTACTCACTTCCATTCAAGTGCACTAAGGATTAATAATGATTATATTGGCAAATGGAGTACTCATCAGATTTCAATATTCTAATTAAATAGGCTGAACTATCAGGCATGGTCTATGTAATGAACATGCCCTAAGACTGTGGAAACCACTAGCATCACTCATTTCATACACTATTTCTTAGAAGTATGTTAAACAAATTAAACGGTGCATAACAAGCCTCTTTCAAAAATGGTGTTTGAAAGTAATGTAAAAGTACTATTGAAACAAGAAGACTTAAATCACTTAATTTTGAAGCACCGTTAAAATAGCAAAATTAAACATCAAAATGATTTGTTCGTAATTACCATAGGATTCTTCTCTTTTAGTTTATCGGTGTACTGACCTAACTAGTTGATAAGTGTTCTTAATCAAAACACTTATTCTAAACGTACTTCCATATATAAGAAAGGTACATAAGCAAATAATGTATCGAGTATTGTGATAGACAGTCTTAAAACATAAGATATGTCCAAAAAAACGTGGGGAAGGGCAGCCCTATATTGACATTGATTTAAAATAGCGTAATATAAAAATAGGTAATAGACATGTAACAAAAATATTTTATCAATATTTTGTTTGGATTATGATAGACCATATTTTCTATAATTCATATATTTTAAAATGATAATTCTCACAAAGATTAAAATAATATTTTCATTCAAGCCACCATTGTGGATTTGTTAGTCAACGCGTGGCATGAAACCAAGGGTGGGTATTGTTGAAAATGTCAACCCCTCATGGTTTATTATTTTATGTTAATGATTCCTAATTATTCACATAATGACATTAACACCACTAATTATTTTTTCCAACTTTATATTATATGAATTATGTGACACATTAAATAAACTTCGTACCAGATTTATTAATATCATAATCCTAATATTTAAATACTGGCATAATACAGCACATGCCAAAAAAAAATCCTTTTTTTATTTATAAAATAAGTATTTTTTTTTAATAGAATATTGGTTGGATACAAAATGAATAACCCTAAAAAAAAATAAATTTAAATATATAATTTTAACCTTCATTTTATTTTTTTTTTAATATGGACTGTATTAGTAAATTTATAATTTAAAAACAAAGAATCTCTTATAAAAAACAAGACAATAATTTTGAAACCAAAGTAATTTAATTAATGATTTTGATTCTATAAAAAAATATATAAAATTCACTCCTCCCCAAAAAAATATACATTATTTAAAAATGCTTTTTTAAATTGGGTGATGTCTGCAATAAATTAATTATATGCCTATCAAAGTCATAAACTATAATTTGCTTGACTGAATAATTTTATAACAAAATATTAAATATTCAAAACATGAGAAAAATCCCCTTTTTTAATAAATAATTAAAAATGATTTAATTGAACTTCTTGTTGAGAATGTTATTCTCTTAATTATTTCTCTTAATATGGGAATGGCCATAATTTTCTTTGAAATAATTAAAGTAAAGATTTAATTTAATTATTCCCATAGATTTATTAAAAAAAAAAAAAAAAAAAAAAGCAATAGAGCCTTCATCATTCTGGGGGAGTTAATTTTTGAAAAGCCAATAATTAATGATATAAATTATAAAAATGAAAATCATATTTATTAAAATAAAAAAGTCTTCTCTAATATTATATTTCATTTGAAAAAATCAAAGTCTTACCATTGTTTTTTCCCCATTGTATTAGTGTTCATAATTTTTCTTTTTTATTTATATATATATATATATATATATATATATATATATATATAAGTTTGTGTTTCTACGTCACTAAATAAAATATTTATAAATATATAATTTAATAAATAAGATATAAATAATAATAATAATTTTTTTTGCAAATCTTTATTTTGATTAAATTAATGAGTACTTAGGGTTTACACATTATTATTTTTGTTAAAAATTATAAGAGATAATAAAAGTTGTAATATTTATCTAATAATGAAATTAAAATTTTAGATTGAAAATTAATGAAATTTGCAAGATAAAGGAAAAAACATCCGAGGCTTAGCCAATCCCTAGCCGCAACGTGGCCCTCGGGCCCACTGCGGTTGGGACACCTATTTTTGATGGCTCACGCGAATCTATGAGTGTGGTACCCAATTGCGTCTGTCCATGTAGGACATCTCTTTAAACGTGGCACTATGGGCCCCGCCAAAACTGACAGGATTCGGACACCTGGCCACACAGCTTCATCACACGGCATAGAAGCTATGGAAAAGGTGAATAAAAAAAAAGACCGTTGCGATTGTGGCCCTGTCGTCGTTCCAGCTCCGTCAAGATGTCGCAACCGACACTTTAACGGAGGTTAACGGTGTAAGTTTTTTAAAAAGAAAGCCAGCTGTCATTCCACGCAATCAAAACAATGTATCGCCAAAATATCGTGGGTCAATCTCTGTTTTTACAATATTTTTATCCTTGTTGGATTATTATTATTTTTAGATTTCTTTCTCTATTTATTTTAAGGATTTTATTTTTTATTTTTTAAAATTTCTCAAAATAGGTTTGATTTTCTTTTATTTCTTCACTCTGTTTAAATATCTTTTTTATTTATTTATGGTCCATTTGGTGTGTTATTAATTTAGTGAATATGATGGATTTGTTTTGTTCTTTAATTTACTTAATGAAATTAAGTTAGTCAACATGAGGAATTTGTTTTTTTTAACATTTATTTAATCCAATTAATTCAGTCAATTTGATGGATTTAATTTGTTTTCTCCCAATATTTTTAATTTTATAGTATAAATCTTTTTAAAAAATTGTTTTTCTTAAATTTAAAAGTTAAGAGTGATTTAGATTAAATAATTAAATATTTGATTATACTTTTTTTTTTTTTATGCAAAATCGTTTCATAATTGAACGTGTAACTTCGCATACGAGAGGTACGGGGATTGATTCCCCGCATCTTCAAAAGAAACTATTCGTTATTAACATTTTATTTTTATTCAATCTTTTCTTATTTATGACATAATGAGTAGAGATATTTTTTTTTATTTTCACTATTATTGTCGACGAGACATTTAGGGTTTTATGATGTAAGAATCGTGGGGATGTAGCTCAGATGGTAGAGCGCTTGGTTTGCATGTGAGCGGTATGAGATTGATACCCCATATCTCCAAAATAAAACTATTTATTTTAAATTTATCCTTATCCATGACATGTTGAGTTGCACTTAATATAATTTATAACATTAATTATGCATTTAAAGAACTGTTTTTCTACATAAGATTTGTTGGATGATGAAAGTCTCACCTCCGTCGCTAATTTAGGAACGATCATCGATTTATAATCAAGGAGTACTCTTTCTCTTGGTATGAGGTATTTGGGGGAAGCCCAAAATAAAGTCGGGGTTGTCTAACAAGATTATTGATGTTTTAATTTGATGGGGTAGGTTTTTTAATTTTAAAATATATGATTTTTTTAAAACTTAATGCATTTTTGCATTTAATAAGTTGAATAAGCTATTTAAAACTGATTACTATTTTTTGAATTAAAGAAAAAATGATTAGTTGTAGAATGCTTTTGTTAATAATAATAATGAGGCATGGGCAACGTTTTATTACGTTAAAAAAGAACTATAAAACTTAGATTTGAAGCAAAGTGATTATTTTTAATAACTTGATTTTAGATGAAATGAGGAAATTTATTATATTTTAAAAAATTCAGACTAAAAAAAGTAACCTTAGAAAAATTCATAAAATATCGCGATATATTGTCGGCGAATCGACAGCAGATTGAATGCAAGCAAATGTAACCAGCCATAGGATTCTGCCACGTGGATAGTAGACCTGTCTGATATTGAACACGTCATGTAAAGCTTTTTGATGACAGTAGGCCCTGTTTTCTTGATGTTTAGCTGGCCTGCATTTATTGGACTGTTCCTTTAACCATGGGTGAGCAGTGAGCCCCAACCCAACTCCACCGTCACCCGCGGCTTAATTTCTTTGCGGTGTACGGCATCTCTCTCTCTCCCTTTTTATATGTGTGTGTTTTTTGCGGTTGCGCTGTCGTAGGTTGCCGGCGGAGAGCGGAGGAGCTTAGGGAGGCGACATTTTTTGAGGCGGAGAAACCAATCCCATTTGGGGGTTTGAATTTGGGTTCCCAATTGGGAGGATCTCATTTAGGGGATTGAAATAGGTGCTGATTGAGTTTGAGATGCGGCGTAGTCTTTGGAGAGTGGATTTCTTTTATGGTAATGTGTGAAGAGTTTTGAAGTCTAGATTTCGCTTTTCTTGTTTTTTCTTCCAATTGGGGTGTTTTTAAGTGGATTGGATTGGTGGATTATTGTATTAGATGCATTTAGATTGGGACTTTGGGATTGAATCAGGGACTTCTGTTGGATACTTTTGGTTTTGGGCGTTGGATTTTCTGATACGGCATTGACCCAATTCAGGGGGAATTGAAACGACGACGTCCTTGACGTGGATCTCGGATCTTTTTAGTGTAAGATGCAGCGGGGGAGATCGAGAGGAATTGTAAGTGGACGTTGAAGAGGTGGATGGTGATGGGGTTGAAGAGTTCAATGGTGTCGTCGGGGAGGTCGAAGATGAAGCTATGGATGATCCGCGCAATGACCTCTGTTTTGCTTTGGACTTGCATCGTGCAGTTGACGGCCTTGGGGGAGACGTGGGGGCCAAGGGTTTTGAAGGGATGGCCTTCTTGTTTCTCTCAGGAATCTGCATCGGTTGATGCGTTTGGTATCCCCACTAAGCCTGTTCCACTTCCCCCCAAAATAGTTCTTCCCCCTAAGAGTAAGTGTTCTTCTGTGGTGGATTATGATCATCTTGTTTCCTATGTTTTAGGACACTTTGTGGTTTCATGTGCTCTCTTCATTCTGTTCTTGTTTCTGTTTATGTAGGGGTCTATAAGAACAACGGTTATTTGATGGTTTCCTGCAATGGAGGACTCAATCAAATGAGAGCTGCAGTGAGTGGGAACCACATTTTTGCATCATCCAACATATTGGGTGCTTTTTGTTTCTTTTTGTTGTTTTCTAAGTTGTCCTCCCTGTTCTATGCTGCACAGATTTGTGATATGGTTACAATCGCAAGATATTTGAATGTAACACTTATTGTACCTGAACTGGATAAGACTTCCTTTTGGGCTGATCCCAGGTTTGTTGATGGATTCTGCTATGCTAAATTTCCATCTCTTCTTTAGCTGGAACCTTAATTTTGATATCTTTCGATGATGTTGCAGTGAATTCCAGGACATATTTGATGTGGATCATTTTATTGCATCATTGAGAGATGAAGTGCGCATATTGAAGGAGTTGCCTCCCAGGCTCAAGAAGAGAGTGGAACAGGGAAGGATTTATTCCATGCCACCAATAAGTTGGTCTGATATATCTTACTACCGTAATCAGGTCAGTTTTCTCTCGTTCGCCCCACCTAATCCCCGCCCGCTCGCTCCTGATATTTGACATACATACCCTAAGCTTCAAGTTTCAATTGGCTCATCTTAAGTAATCTGTGTAGCTCTGTTTTCTAATAGAACATGGCCTTTTTACTGCTTGGAATTGGTTTTGAGGTAGTGTTTATCCTCTCATTATAGGTTCTTCCTCTGATTCAAAAATATAAAGTTGTGCATCTAAATAGAACCGATGCTCGACTTGCCAACAATGGTCAGCCTATGGAGATTCAAAAACTACGCTGTCGGGTTAACTTCAGTGCTCTGAGGTTTACTTCCCAGATTGAGGAGTTGGGAAGAAAAGTTATAAAGCTCCTACGCCAGAATGGTCCTTTTCTTGTTCTTCATCTCAGATATGAAATGGACATGTTAGCATTTTCTGGGTGCACCCAAGGCTGCAATGATGAAGAGGTTGAAGAGTTGACAAGAATGAGGTTAGTCTTCCACTGAAAAAGGTGACCAATTGTGACATTTGGCTAAGTGTTCATTTAACCTCACTCATGGGAACTCATTCTTGTGTTGGTAGATATGCTTATCCCTGGTGGAAAGAAAAAATAATAAACTCTGAGTTGAAAAGGAAAGATGGTTTGTGTCCATTAACACCTGAGGAAACTGCACTTACACTGAGGGCACTGGATATTGATCCCAATATCCAGATTTATATTGCTGCTGGCGAAATTTACGGTGGCGACCGGAGAATGGCTGCTCTTGCAAAGGCTTTTCCAAAATTGGTTAGTAGATGTGGATATCAATTTCTTTAGCTCTGGTATTTGATTGCCATGTCTTTAAGATCTTTGGACTGTTGAAACAGGTAAGAAAGGAGACTTTGTTGGAACCTTCAGAACTTGGGTTTTTCCAGAATCATTCATCTCAGATGGCAGCATTGGATTATCTTGTTTCCTTGGAAAGTGATATATTTGTTCCTACGTATGATGGAAACATGGCTAAAGTTGTCGAAGGTCATCGCAGGTACGGGATGACACCAGCTTTGTTTGTTAACTAGATTGTTAATGTGAGATGTCACCAACATAGCCCAAAGAGGAAAATATCTGCTAGCAGTGGGTATGAACTAACACTATTTGTTAAATCATTCGTCTTTTGTAGGTATCTCGGGTTTAAGAAGACGATCTTATTGGACAGAAGGCTACTTGTAGATCTGATAGATCAGTTCGACAGAGGAATTCTTAACTGGGATGAATTCTCGTCGGCAGTGAAGGAAGCTCATGCAGGTCGGTGGGGGAATCCTACCAAGAGATTGGTCATTCCAGATAGGCCTAAAGAAGAAGAGTATTTCTATTCTAACCCAGAGGAGTGTTTGCAATTGTCAGAGGAAGGATTCAACAGTACATGATCTACATGATCTACATTAATATGTGGACTTCTGATGATTACATTTCCACTACTGTTCTCTCAGCTCTAGATTCCTTTAGTAAAGAGAGATTTAACCATGCTTGGGGATTGATCGTGAAGATTAGTATGAGAGATTAACTTCTAAAGAATCTGAGGGAATCTATGGAGTTGGCTGAAGAAGATGTTTAATGTTTTGCCTTATGCAATTCCTGTATAGAAGAAGAGAGCAGAGGAGGTTAGATTATTGTACACAGAAGAAGGTGCTAATGCTATAATTCATGGAGTGGAGGAGTCAATCTATAATCTTTCACTTTTTTTTTTTTGTTTTCATTCTGTTTCTTTTCCAATTTTTTTTGTTTTTCTTTTGAATCAACCATAAATCATGTGATTTCGATAGGTTTATATGTTCATCATATACCACAAATTACAGTATAGTTTGACACAGTTACTTTCTTCCTTGCTTCCTGTTGATGGCTTCAGTCTGTTAGTGGAAGAGTACTTCTTACCTGTTTCTTTGTGAGTACAGAGAAGGCTGTGGAGAGGCTGGTAGGGCAGAGAAGGCAGTTAGTCCATTCAGCCGAGTAAGGGTGAATTTTGTTCGATGTTGAAGGTAAATCTTATTTATCAGCATATGAGTTCGTTGTGCTACTCAATTTGAATCAGTTTTGTGAAATGGTGATATGGAGGAAGAAGATGGTCGGATGGATGGCTGCTGGTGGACAGATTTATTTCTTGAGTGTTTAGTTGGAACATGTTTTTCTTTTTATTTCCTTTATTCTCAGAAAGTGACAGGCTTGGTGAAAAAGGGATGCTTGTTGATTGGTTGGTTGGTTGGTTGGCTTGGAATTTATGGGAGGGAGGGTATGGAAGGAATGTGTATTCTAAGCACAAAAAGAGCCCATAGATTCTTGTGGAGCTTCATGAACAATAAAGTTAAGCTTCTTCCTCATTATACCAAACACGAACACTAATTTAGAATATGTTTCTTCTTTTGTTGTTAAATTTTAGTCACTTTTACAATTATGCCCCATTGTTTTGACACCTTTGAAGCACCACTTGTTGATGATAGAGACAATTGGAATAATAGATACAAAAGTAAAGGCAAATATGAAATTGACATAAATGTGAAAACACCAAATGAAAGGGTATAGTTGACTCTTCTTCCTTTACAAACGTAAAATGGGGCGGGAGAAATTAACTCAATGCCGGCAGAATGCGATATATTAGTGGACGGAATGAAAAGAGTATGTATATGTAATTGAAGGATGAAAGGAAGGCTTTATATTATTAAAAGATCAATCATAATTTACATACATAACTGGAAGACTTCCGATTAAAAAACGAAAAGGAAAAAGAAAATAAAAAAAATAAAAAGCAGCTTCACAATATATTAGGTGGAAGCCTCTATATAGAAATACAAAGAAGAATTCAGGTCAATGTTACATGCCCATTGTGCCCATGGCATCCCCAACTAAATGAATTAAACTAGACATAAATTTTGGGTAACTGTGTAGTTTTTAACCAGTGGAAGACACATGGGAACCCCCCCGAAAAGGAAGAGGAGCCCCTAAAAAAATGAATAAAAAATTATGAAAAGAAAGGAATTCTCACACTAAGCTTTTCACAGTCTTGAGCTTCTTTGTAGCCCTCTCGGAATCCTCTGCAGCCGAAACTCTAGTGTGTATCGTCTCCATATCGTTGATGGGAATGTTGATATCCTAGGAATCATGAAAAGATTTAGCAGTAGTCCCTACAATAACAACAAATATTTGTTCTAGTGGCGAAGGAAGCATCTGAATACCTTGACAATGGATGATGGAGCTGTGGATCTCCTATTTGCTAGTTCACCGAGTTCTATTTGCACAGAGATCCTGGCCTGCGATAGATCCACCCCTGAACTCTGCAGTGCGTGAGTGAGACTATTTAACAACCTGCTAGCAAAATCATCAGGAAATTGACAAGTCATTCAGTTGCCAAACCGCTGTTCTCTGAGAGCTGCTCGATAATAAGATCTCACAAAAATAAATTTTAAAGACGTGATTCAAATATTGCGTAAGTGCACAAAAGAGGAGTAGAATAAAGAGGCCAAGGATATAAAAATAAAAGGATCGAAGATGAACCAGAAAGAAATTACAAAATCTCACCCTTGAGAATATACACTTGAGATGTTAACGGTACCCCCTTCAATGGTCAAATCTTGTTCTTTCTGTAATTCACTTGCAACAGCAGCGTCATTGTTGTAGCATCTGGCCTGATACGACAGGATTTGAGACTGTGATGAAGGGTGATCGGTGTCGGATGACAATGGTCTCGAGGCTTGGGGCACCACAGTTCCATCCCTTGTAGGTGCATAAAGTTTTGGTGGAATGGACATGGGAAATGGTACTACGTTATTTGTTCTTCCAGGATGGTGATCAACTGCTTTCAAGGTTGTCGCGGAACTTGTGTCAGAATCGACTGCATTATGTGAACTCCCAGGAACAAGGGGAGATAAAGCGGCATTTTTCTCAACAAAGTTTGCTGAAAAAACTAGTGCAGGACCAGGCCCACTATCTACCCCTCGAGATTGATCATTATAGCCATCTGCACTTCGTTGATTGTTTCTCTGCGCAGTCAGATGTGATATTTAGAAATATAATTTAGCTGTTTACGGATTATCTATTTACAATATTGTTTAGGGCCTCAATTACAAGCAAAATACAGATTCCTTTACCGACAAATTGTATACATAAAACACGCTGATTCAAAAGTAGAGGAGTTATTTCAATCATGAATTGAATGCAAAAAAAGCTAGAAGCATGTGATTACCAACGGCATTAATTTAGCAATTTCTCGATTCCATTCGTGGTATGAACCTTCATACTTCTGTACCTTTTCCTGTAAGAATTGAATGTACTCAACCACCTGAAAAGAAAAATAGCAAAGCACGTTATGGATCAATAAAATATAACATGGAAAATGTAAAGCAAATTATTAAGAAGTGCACCTCTAATAAGAAAGACGCCTTGTCCTTCTTTTGGTCACTATGAGGAATGAGGCCTCTAAGCATCTGAAATCTGTATGATAGGCAGAAAAGATGTTATATTAGAAGCAGTTGGCAACAACATCCAAGAAGCATGCAACTGAGGTGAAATTATTACCGAAACCACTGTGAAGAGAGCACAAGAGGAACGCGGGAATAAAAACTACCCAAGAATGTTCGTTTCTCGTTCCCAATAAAGATTCATCGATAAAGGGACGTGAACTGGGTAGATTCTACCAATCTATGATTTAGGCCAAAAGTAATGAAATTAAAATTGTAGTCGTAAATAGAAGCTCTATAATCAAAGACTGGAACCGGCTAGATTCAGTGATTTTCCAGAAATAACAATGCTCCTAATATGAACATTACAGCCAAGTTAACGGCAGGTTCTACAAGCTACCGTCATATTATCAAGTACATAACAAAAAACAAAGAAGTTCCCTTTGACTGCACTGGTCGACTGACTAATGAATTCTAAGTTGAATAATAGGAGAAACACTTGCCTATCGTTTATCTTGCTTCTTCTTCGTTGTTCTGTCGCAGAGTGCTTTGATCTAGAAGTGTTCGCCTTTTGATCAGAGCTGTTCCCATCAACTTTAATCCTCAATTCTCCTGCAGAAGTATTTCGAAACGTTTAGTTAGGATACGTTTAATACAGTAATAAAAGAAAGTTGGAAGAATTATCTTTCAATTGCTATCTGGTAGCAGCATAATACCTTTATTGGCGGTAGAGATCTCTTTCTTGATGACAACGTCACCATCGTCGTCTAGTTCCTCGTCCTGAGAGTTACTCTTGGCCGACTTTAGCATCTCCATGAAGCTCGGGTTCTTTTTTCCTCTCGGCCTGCAAAGATTTACTTGGAATCAATTCCACTGAGAATTTCAGAATGAAACTGAAAAGGAGAAAGAGAGAAAAAGATAAAGACTGACTGAGAAGATGAGAAACAACTGAAAGCGTTGTGATGGTTGTTCGAAGATGATTGCGACGGCCGCTCCATGGACGCCGTCCATTGGCTCGTGCTCGCCCGAGGTTCTGTTCACAGGCCAAAATTTAAAAGGAAGGGACAAATAGAAGCCATCGACGTGTTGTCTGGGCTTAACACCTTAGCACAGCCCATACGCTAAGCCCAGATCTTTAACAAGCCCACCATAATTTTCACTCTTTTTATTATTCTAAAACTTGAAATAATTATAGAATAATTTTTGTTTTTGCATGCATGCCCATGAAAAGATTAATAAGTTCATACCATGGGGTCTATCGCCCAAAATATTCTCCTTCCCTGTCTTTCCCTTTTTAACTGCATATTCCTCCCACAGAGTGAATCCACTTCCATTGGAGTTCTCATCATTTCTCTCACCGCTGCTACTCGATCGAGCACCAGTAAAAACCGAACCTTCCGGCTTCGGCAGAGTCCTCTGATCAAAATATGAAACTTGGCTAATGCTGAAAGTCCCGATCCCTCCGGGGAGAAAATGCTCGACGGAAGTCGTCGGCACCGGTGGTGGCGGCCTCTCCACGTTTATCTCTTTCTTGCTACTGGCCTTCCTTTTTCGCTCTTGTGGTTCCAGGAAATCGTGTGTTTTAAGATAGCCACCTGCTCAATCCGACATTAAATTATTAAAACCAAAACCAAAAGAAGTATTCACTGCCGCGCTGTAACAAAAAATCCTTAATTACACGCTGATTAGCATAAATTTCTACTTGCAGTAAATTTCTACTTGCAGTAAATTTCAGTCGGATTCATTTTTTTATTAAATGAAGTAGCAGATGCTTTGCATGATACTGAACACTCAAATATGTGATAGTACAGTGAAGAAAGTTTCCCAGATAAGAAATTTCTTGATACCCATCATATCCTTTAATTTGAGTAAGAACAGAATTCTAAGACACTGCATTAGAAGTATTTTGATATACCAGATTGGAAAGACATTAAAAGATCTAACTGGTATATAAGCAAATATTGTCTATTTCAAAATTCTCGATCAAATATCCAATTGTATAGAATTATCGACCACATTCTTCCGAGTTCTCCAATGATTTCTCAATCTGAGATGATAATTTGATGATGGGCATTTAAAAGGTGAAAGAAGGGGGCGAAATCCCAGATTTAGCTGTAATGTGAAGAAATGGAAAAAGGAAAAGTTGGGGTCATGTGCGACGTCAAATCAGGGCGATGTGGGGAAGGGGCAGAGGGGACCCCCGGCGCCCCACCCCAATATGAAATTGGGCACTAGCTGCTAACTGCTGAAGCTACGCTTTTTCTTTTTAGATTTCAGCAGCCTATGCGGTTAGCACAGCCAGCCCCGCCCCAGACTACGCTTTTGAATGTTTCTTGGCCCCAGATCCATGATTCAATGCTTGTCACGTGCATATACGTTTATCGATTTTCCCCTCCCCCTCTTAAATATAAGCCCCCAAACATAGATTTAACAAATAATATATTACACAGATATAATATCTGGATTCGTAATTAAGTTCATGAGGAAAGAAAAAATTAGAATCAAAATTAAATGAAATTAATGAATACCTTGTGAGGATGGTCTTGGATCTAGCTGTGGACTTGAATGGGTGTACAGTGAGAGGAAGTCATGTGTTGATTTGCTTCCTGTTCATGCACGTTCAAGATAGACTCCGTTAACTCAATTTGTTTTGGAGATTCTAAATTCTTATCCTTATTTAGTTCCATATGGTTATCGAATTGCTGAAACTTCAAAAAGTTGAATCGATTTTCTCGTGGAAAACAAATAGCAACAGATTCAAGCTGATTAGTGCGGGGACAATTGAAATGGAAACTTATTCCGAGTTTAATTTTAATTTGTGAGGAAGAGGAAGTACCTTCGGCTCCAAACGGACGGGGTTGAGGAAGTTCCATCGGATTTTTCGCCAATTTTGGATTTGACAGTCCACAGCCGGAAGATGAATTCTCGCGGAATTTTGATTTATGTCGCTTCGGAAATGGTAGTGCTCTAGGAAATTCAGAGCTCGATTGCTGGATTCTGGAGCAAGAAAGAGCAGGAAAATTCCGGAATTAATTCTTAGATCCACACCAGGCATGGAAAGCAGCCAAATAGCAAATTTCTGGAGCAAGTCTCCGGCTGGTAAAGATCTCCAAGACGAAGCGTTCCCAGTCTCTTTACGACAAAGCTAGGTTTTCCAATACTCGCATTAGGTAAGGATTTGGCGCGATTCCTGGATTCTGATTGTTTCTCGATAAAATCACTTCCGATCGTCAAATTTCAGAGGAAATTCTTCTTCTAGAAAGACTTCCACCACGGCCAACGGTGAGTAGTCACAGCCAAATTCAGAAGATCTAGCATCCAGTATACACATCAAAAGTCATTCCACTATGAACAGTAAACGCGAAAATCGTATAGAAACCAAATTGAAATTCAGATAATCTTACCAGTTCGAATGCAGTCCCGGCGCCGGCGAGCTTCAGCAAAACGATAATGGAGTTTGATTCAGCAACTTTATCTTCATTAACAGCCAGATTTAATCAGAAGCTTGAAAACTACGAAGATAGAAAAATGGCAAGAGAATTGATTTCGATCTAAAGTATTTTTTGTGAAATTCAATGTTTGTAGGCGAGCAAACAGTGCTGCGGAAGACGAGGCTTGAGGTCGGAAGAACCTCTCTCTCTCTGTTCTCCCTATAGTGTCAGTCCGATCTTTTTATACACTCGGCGATTGTCCCTCTTTCCAAATTGCGCAGGTAGCTGTTTTCCGTTTGTTACGACGCCGTTTGGCTGACGACGTTACGGCGGGGCGGACGGCGTTTACGCTAGCCTCCACGAATTTTCCGTCCCGTTTTCTTCTCTGTGTGGTGCAATTATAATCCACGGAGGCTGATAAACTTCACGTTTTAATCTTTTTTTAATTAAACTTAAAAAAAAAAAAAAAAAAGTTTTACTTAATCGCGATTGTAAATTTTAAAACTACAAATTTAAAAAGAAATATGATTATTGAATTTTCTTATTTATATGTATTTTCTCAATATTTAATATTATAAATCTTTCTCATAAGTGCGGGCACAAATCCCAATTATTAACTTAATAAAATAAACAATTAATTAATTAACTACAAAACCACGTTGGTTAATTATAAGGTTTGACTGCCACGTGTCCCTCGTTATATTCATCGATATTTAATTTTAAAAACATAGTACATATCGTAAATTAGGGTTAATTTAAATTGTCTTATAAATAAAGCTCATTAATGTAATTTAATTCAGTTGGATAATGATTGACAAAGTTTGTACACATAAAGCAACATGATACAGCTTGGCGTGACAATGTATATAGCAACATATGTATATATTTTTTAAATTAATATGTGGTTCATATCCCTTTCCTATCAATATAGTAGCATTTCTTATTACATGTTTGATTAATTTAAATTTTAATCACGCAACGAATCTTGGAGCAACAGCTAGGCCCTCGCCTCCTTTTGATTAATTTAAAAATAAAAATGTATAATGATAATAATATTCGTGAAAAGTGATGGGTCCATAATTTAACCCACATGGATCAAATTATAGTTAATCTAACCATTTTTTAAGATATTTGTCGGGGTAAAGGTAGAGAATTTTAACCTTGCCCAATAAATACTTTTTAATTAATTTTAATAGGAATTAACCTTGGCATTTTAAGTATATATATAATAATGCTAAATTAATCGAAACACTCCTAAATTTTATATTTTATCTAAAATATATCTCTAAATTTTAAAAAGTTTAAATAATACAGTTTAAAATATCATTGAACTTTTAATATTATTTAAAAAATATTTTTAAATTCTAATTTTTTTTATTAATATCCTTCCACCCACTTCTCTAAAAAAGTAAAAAAAAATACTGGTAAAAAATTAATTTTTTTTTTTAAGGGGTTTATGAAGTTAACAAAAAAAATAAAGATATTTTTTAAATTAAAAATGATTTTTGGTAAAAAAATAATAATGGTAAAGTGTTTTTTTAAGTTTAAAGTAATTTTTATATATTTTTTAAAAAATTTATGAATATTTTAAAATAAAATTTAAAGATATTTTTATTAATTTTGTTTTAAGGAAAAAAAAAAAACGTAAGGTGGGGCAGGAGTAGTTTCGGTTGACCTGCAGCTCACGTGCATAAAGAAGGGCAGAAGACGACGACGTTCGTAAAAGGGAAACTGCGGATTAGCACAGCCGACCAAGCCACTGCAACTCTCAGCTCTTGTCCTCTCACCCACACAATAAATACTTTAATATAACCTTCTCATAATCAACTCCTACCAAATAAGAAATAGCTACTGGCCAATCAAAAAAACAGAATTTAAAATTTTAAACATTATATATATTTTTTTTTTAATTATACCATTTTAACTCAAATCTAAGTGGAAAATGAAGTTGTTCGTGAATCTCGATCATCACTACAATGAAATTAAGTCTTTAGTTGATCATCTTGAATACCTATTGAAGTCCAACTCTATCAGGTATCTTTTCAACACATAGACAGACAATGAAGTGGCAAAAACTCGACACTAAACATAATGAATTTCATCATTGAAAATAAACATATTGTGTCGGGTGACTAAAATCCTCTTAAATAAGAAACCGTCACTTACCTCAATTTTCTTTTCTTTTTTTATTTGGGTAGTGATCAATTTATGGATTTATTGTAGTTTCTAAAACTATAATCTAAACTTTCGGACTATATAGAATTTTATTATAGAATAAATAATGAATACCTTTAAATTAATGCAAAAGAAAGAAAAAAAAAAAATTGAGAGTCCCGAGGCTAGGGTCATAGGCTGCTACGGAGCTACATGTACATTTGATTCCAAATAATAAAAGATTCTCGTACAAAGAAACATCTACTCACTCTGCCTAGGTTCATGCGCGGACCTTCTTTATAAATAATAATACCATATGCTCCTTTTTTCTCTTTATAATTATTAATTAGTATAATTTAAATACAACTTTATGGTGAAATTAATATAATGGTGAATAATTATAGCCCACAATAACATAGTTTATAGTTATACTAAAATCTCAGAGAAAAGGATTTTTTTTTTTTAAAATTAAAATATTTAAATATTAGAAAAAATTAAAATTATTGTTAAAGCAAATTCATACGATAAGAGCGGGGAAAGTTGTATCGGGAACCAGCAAGAGCGGGCGAGGAAATGGCGGGACTTGATGACGTGGCGCGAAATTAATTAATATAATAAAAAATTAACATTAATTAATTTAATATCGAATACTTATGGATTGGTAACAGAACAGAGTGTTACCCCCGTAACATAAACATTCTCTGGCGGAGGGAATCCGTTTAGGGATCCGTTAACAAATCATAAGAGCGTGACTGTCGCATAATATCCAATCAAACTTTGGATTACTTTAATTTAATTACAGCCTAATAATGAAATTAATTATAAAATATGGACGCGTGGCGGACTCCCCGTTCAATCAGGAAGGTATCACGTGATTATAAAAAATGTTTGCCCACCACGTCCTCACGTGGCCAACTCAACACTCTCCGTTGGCAGCACCCACTTTTAAGCGATGCTTTTATTATTTTTTGCCCCAAACAAAAAAATTAATAAATTTTCGGATTATTCATTTCTTCCCCTTGTGACATTTCATGATAAATTAAAAAATAATAATAATAAGAATAAAGAGCATAGGTTATAAAAATAATATAATCCTACCGAAGAACATGCGAGTTGAAAGTATAAGCCAAACCCATGGCTTTGTTTGGATGAGGTCATTTTCGTTAATTAATTATTTATTTATTTATTTTTTATGGTTGGCGGATGATTTTAATTTAATTGTTAGAGGCATGTGAGAGGAGATGCACTCTGTCAGTGGCCTAACGTGACGCCCTAACAGTAGGAAGAGGATAGCCGGATAGGGTATTGGACGACGTCGTTTTAATTGCATGGTCACTGCACGTGATTCCCCCAACTCCCTCACGTGCGCCCATCCTCTGCTCTTCGTCTTCTTCTTCCACTCCTCGCGTGCGGTGGGGACCCTTAACACCCATTTTTTCACGCCGTTAACGGATCCCGTCACGTTCTTTAACAACGACTCGTAGTTTGTAAATTTTATTTAAATAAATAAATAATATTCATACACTTTTTCAAAATGTGCTTTATTAATAATATATAATTTAATCTCAGAGATTGGTGAGAGTAGAAAGTAATATTTTAGCCTGTAGTTGAAATTTGAATTAAGAAAATAAAAAATAAAAAGGGAAATAATAGTAGGGGTGGAGGCACGTGCCGGGCATGCGGGGAGTGGGGGCGGTGGGATTATCTGAATCTCTCCATCTCTCTTTCTCGTGACGGCGTCACGTGGGGGAGAAATCTGGTAGGTAGGACCCACGAATTCCCGGAGCCGGGCCTACCAAAAAAGCAGAAGAGATGTAAATCAATAAATAAAAGAAGGGTAGTGGGAGCATGTGCCTCGCTTTTCCACCGTGACCTGTCGTGTATGGGTCATTTTTAAGATCTCTCATAAGGTTTTGACGTGTGTTTCCTCTCACGTGCTTTACCACGTGATTTTTTTTTTTTTTTTTTGGCTAAATTATAAAAAATACTAAATATTATTTATAAACTTTTTAAAATATTTGTTGCGTTACCATCCTATCAATTTTCATTTAGTTTTTTTTTTTTTTTTTAATTTCAACATTATGAAATACTACTCATGGATACTAATTTGGTTATTGGGCCTGCAATTATAGTATTATTTGAGTTGGGCTGATAATTGGGCCGGGCCTCTTGTTCTCAAACTCAATATGCTATTAAGGAACGAGTAGATGAACAACATGATGTTTTTTTTATTAGACAACTAAGCGCTTACACAGTCGATGTGGGTTATTTATTTTATTCGATCAAGCTCGTTAAATATCAAAGGGAGAAATTGTAAAACAAGGGTGTATATGTATATGTATGTTATCTTCTAAAATAATTAAGACTTTTATAATATCATATTTTAAAAATAAAATTCATATTATATTGAAGTGTGACAAGCATAATTAGCGCAATAATTAATGCAATAATCAAATGGTTGAATTTATTATCAGTTACTATTAGATTATACACTAAAAAAATTTGTTAAGAGAGATTGAAGGTTGTTTAGTGTACTTAAAAGAACCTATTTTCTTTATTTATTGCAATATTTTTAAGAAAAGGAAAAAGGAAAAAGGAAATTATTTTATACGGAAATTGGTGATGGCGGTTGTTAATCTAGTCGGCCCAAGAAGCGATATTGGGCCGTATGGGAAGTAGAGGGTTCAAGAGCCCATTAGGCCCATTATCGGAAGTTCCCGCGAAATCTGAAATATGTTCATCAAATTTCCCGCCTAAAAAAGAGGTATAGATAGAAAATCATCGACCAAAGAGCTTCCACTTCCATTCTTGGCTGCTCCGGCGAAACTAGAACAAAAGCCGGAAGAAAGATACTCAGTTCGTTAATTGAAAGGAAATTACTGGAGTTGCTATGAAAATCCGGTCGGTGAAGCTCCGAGAAGCCCACAAGGCAGCCAGCAATGGCAAGGCTTCGTTTTGCTCCGTCCTGTGGGATCAACAAGCGTCCCATATTGTCACTGCTTCGTCTTCCGAATCCGCCATATCCATCCATGATTCTCTTCTTCCTTCAAATAACCCGAAGATCATTC